CTAGTGGTATCTGCTACTTTAATCACTGCATTACTAACTCCAGGGCCACTCCAAGTCCAATTAAAGGTTCCATTATTAACAACTGTACAGGATAAGTTAAGAGATGGTTGTATTGCATCAGGCTGCAGTGTTTGATTAGGAGACATGAATACAATAGGAACAGCAGAAAAAGGAATAGGGTCTATATAGATAAGGAGTCATCATGGACACATGCACATAATGTAGTTTACTTACCTGTATCTATGAAACACTTAACTTCACTGATAGAAAATTTAACTGCTAGATCTGATGAAGTGACAAAAGAGTGCAATTCAAGCATAGAAATACCTTCAGTAGTGCTATAAGGCTTTGCATTGAGTACAATCATTGAAAGCATTATAGTATCATTATCAGACTGGGATACTTTATAATTATTAATGAATGTCAAGTGGACACCATGAAAAGGACGAGGATAGCGTATATACATCTTTATGCGAGGTAGTCCATATCCTGAGGATGGATAACTATAGTAATATATATCAATACGATTGAAGAAGTAATTCGAAGATATCTTATGGAAGAAGAACTTGAGCGAAAATCTGTTCCATTCATAAAATCTATCTGCATTAAAGGCCAATCCTTCATTAGTTATATAGTCATACAGTTTGCTGCAGGGGGGACCACCGCAAAAAATGGGACCATCAGTATCATATGGGGCAGGAGGATTTATGGATGAGGCTATTGGTTTCACTATAAAAACAAATACCTCATACTATGATGCATTCATGGATTAATCATACTTGTAGTTTGTAATGAAGATTTTATGAGCAATGACAATAGTAACAACTTGGTCACTTCTGCCTATAGAATATGTTAACGTTAATAATAATAATACCGTATCCTGGGATATTTTCGCGTCACTAATTTTTTTTACGAATTTTGCATTTGTAAGATTTCATGAAATAATATTTGCGTAAATAGCTTGTAAACTCCACCACGTGGCAATGAAAATTCAGAATTTCATGATTTTTATTTTCGCGACAGAGCAAAAAAACGTGAAATCCAAATAAATTTGGCTACTTGAAAATTTCCCAGTATACGGTACTAAAAGCAATATGAGGCAAAGTGTTATTAACAAAGTGGTCTATGTAAATAAAGTTGTACTGCATCTAGACCTCACTGGCCTCCTATAATGCTTTACACTCATCTAATTAAAAATAATTAACTGCAAAATGGAGGTATGTGTGAAAAAAGAACTTCTAATTGGAATTGTTTAAAACTACCTAAAATATAAAAATGTTGTTACAGTACAAAGTGTCAAATCTTGATTGCTAGAGTTTCTTGGACTTCTACTCGGTGGATACACACATTTATGAGGCTCTATTTGTTGGATATACAAGCTCTTGTCAAGTGTCTGAAGTTTATAGACTTAAGCTACTCTTTCTAAGTATAGAATCAAGAGGTAAGTGATTTTATGCAATCGTATCTTCAAAACAAAAAAAGTTCGAGCAAAACGCTAAGTTATTTTTCCAGATAAAGTTTCTATGACTCTCTAGAGGTACTATAAAGCCCTGTCACTCGAAGCATGAAAAAATCCATCAAGAACCTGCTACATTTGGCAAAATTGATGGCTTTTGGTGCCTTCCACTGCTGGTTATACTAGATAAAGTAGTAGAAAGTAACTTTTTCTAGCCCATGGAGAAGTTTTGGTGACTGCAGGAGAACCCCTTTAAAACCACAGAGCCTCAATGAGAGTTGCAGTCGACAGAATGAATGACACACACAACATTAAACTACATGGTCCCAGGGGCGTAGCTGGGAAGGAAATGATGAGAAGGCCCAGAGATAAATGGCGCATGAAGCATGCTGAAAATTTGGCCACACCCCTTTTTAGCGCTCATATAGTGCACTAAAATAGCATTTTGCGTATTTTAAAGCATCAAAATCTTACATTTTCAACAATGATTAATATAAAATGAGTGTTTTGTTTCTGCCTACTTTTCATTTCTTGTACATTTACTGCTGTGCAATGTATTGTACATGATTACAAGGTGGTTAATTTATATTACTAGGTGGTAGGTAATAAAACAAACAATGAATATTATTATCTACAACAATTGATGGGGGGCCCAGGCCCCTGTAGGCCCCCTCAGATATGCCCCTGCATGGTCCTAGCGCATGCTAATCGCTGGCGAGGCCAATGATATAATTATAGTCCAGTTGCACTAACTAGAACTTCAATTATTGCAAGACACATGTGCTTTACAGACATCACTGTACCAGAATGATATTGTTTAGTGAAGGAGAGCTCATTTAAGCAAAGTCAAACATAATAGTGATAAGAAATAATTTAGCTGAATTACAAACATTTGAAGAAAATTAAAAAACTGTTATACATAGGATGCTTTTCATGTCTCAGTGTCATTAACTCATTAACACTGTCTTCCATCACATTATCAAGACACACTACACAAGTCATGCGCTGTCAACTCTTACTATAGACCATCTAGGCGCTAAGACTATTTTGAATGAATTATTTATGGTAGCCACCCGTGATTAAAATTACTGACAGCAAGAAGCTCTCCATGTCAAAGCCCAAAAGAGTTAGATGCCGAAATGAAGCATAGCAACAAAACTATGCTGCAGCAAGAGTTACCTGGTCTATATGATGTAGTCTGGCCTCCATACTTTCCATAAATGCTGCTTGTAAGCCTGAAGTACCTTGTAGTGCTCACAAAAATGGTCAGGCAGTGTCACCACCTTTGATTATCTTTTGATCTTGAGGCCTTCTTGCCGTCAGTAGTTTACATTGTGGGTGGATACCGTATGGAAAAAATTTATTTATTATGAATGAATATCATTATTGTACAATTTGTACTCATATTCATTGAAAATAGTCTTGCTATATGTGGTAGTTAATATTGGACAAGTTTTAATTTGGCCTTTTTAAACTTGGAGTATTATCAAAAATAATTATTAATCAGCAAAATATCCCACTGTATGGTAGTCTGTTCTAA